CTCATTCGGCGTTAAATTAGAACTAATTTTCAGTTCAGTAAAATAAACAATCTTCCAAAACTCCATGGTGCCCGTGACTATACTGTCCATGGTGCTGATTGATGCTGTGCAGATGTCAGGCAAAATGCTGCTTTTTTCTTTTCATCTAAAAATTTACCGCTCGTTTTTCTGTGTTTAACTTTAATTTAGATTCACCCTGTGCCGACATTTCAACTGCCAAGTTAAATTAGTGCCAGTGTTTGTGCCCGAGATCGCCTGTCTCTTTCTGCTCATAAAAATGCTTGCGACAGTCTGGTACTTTTTCAACTCTGTCCTTTACCATTGTTTTACTTTTGCATTTGACCATGTTCTTACTGAGCTCGCTAATTTTGTCGTGGTCGGTGTAGGGGCACATTTGCCGACTGATTTTGCAGGCCATGTGTTTTTGGCGCGTTCTGCTTGGTACAATCATTTTGTTGTAATGCGCCGAATTCTTAACCTCGTTGTTCACATTCATCAGCATTTCACTGTTCGTGTGAACTCGGACGAAATTTTGATATTAACGCCTTTCTTCAAATCAAGTTTTCTTTGCCATGCGTTTCCAGTGGTTTTTGAGCGTTTCAACTTCGTTCGGCACCGTACGTGTGATTTGGCACGCTGCACTCGCACAGGTTTCCAAAACATATTGCTAACTACTCGAATTACCAATGCTCGGCTGTAAATTTCCCGGTTTTGTCGCTTCGCCTACAAAATCGCTTTTTTTATAAATACCGAGATTATTGTACGCACATAAATACACACATGTAGATGTCGCATCTGTAATAATGCTGTAAATGTGCAACACGTTGATCTGCAGGATTTGTTAGCAAGTGGTACTGCTGCATGTCAAGCAGGGGAAGATTAACGGTAAGCAGTTCGTAGAATTTCTGTAGTTTTGAAAGAAAAACAAACACAATCTGCCTACTTTCGCTTTTGATGTTATGTTGTTGGGCAAGGGGTGGGCAGTTCTGAATAATTCAGCAAATTTGGATGCCAGAAGATTCGCTCGAATTCTTCCACCACTGAAGTCACGTATCGATGACACAAGTCGCAAGCAAGCGTGGTCACCTGGTTTGCAGGTTTTTTTCTTGTGCCGTTTCTATTTTTGTGTTTATGGTGGGACAGGGGTTCAATTTATTTTTCAGACTGAGTGCGCGTTTCTTCGAGAATATCGATATCTCCGTAAGCATGTACCACATGTTGGAATAGAGGAGGGA